TGCCCACAGGAGCTGTACCTGCTTTAGGGTAGGTTACACGGATCCTAGATGTCTGTCTGTCCTGCCTGCAGCCTGGGTTTTATGACTTATTGCATCAATTGCCAGTTGGGAAACTGTATGCAGTTACCTCTCATCCTTTTTTTTTTTTTTTTAATTCCTGAGGAAATCTGTTAATGACAGCAATATGTCAAAAGTTAGTTTGATTTTTAAACTTCATAACAGTAAACCCAGTTGTGCTACCACTGCCAACGAGAACAGACTGAGAGATGTGTTTTGGCTTTTGCCTTATAGAGGGCAAAAGCATACAGCAAAGAACGTGCCCACAGCCTCTGTTCTCCCAAAGACTTCCAGTGCACCTATGGGATGGATATTTGACTTGACACTGGTATTGCTGATACACATCTAAAGCACAAGTGGCTAGACGAGAGTGAGGAACCGAGTTGCTACAACTGACAAAGCTTCAACAGTTTCAAGAGCTGCAGTGCACGGAGAAAACGGCCACTAGTCAAAATTTAGAGGAGTTGCGGTGAAACGTTGGGGAAGAGCTCTGTGACTAAACGGGTCACACGAACTAGCAGGCAAAGGCTGTTGGTCTCAGAGCTGGAAAAGTTCAGGGATGAGACACATGGATATCATCATTTATCATCTTTTCAAGAGGAAGGGCCAGGAGCAGCAGACAGCTCGTGGCCTCTGCTCACGTTCTGCACCTGACGTGGAAGCTTGTTCACGGCTCGCAGGTAGTCTTTGTCCAGGATGCAGTTCCCAAGAGCATTCCCAAAGCACCTGAGAAATAAGAGAGCTCACTGTGACTGAAAATAACACTTAATTCTCACTTCGCTTCTGAAAATCTACAAGGACATTTGTACAAGATCTTCGCTTACTTGAGTGCCCTCTTCAGTCCATCTGTTACTGCCTCCTTTCTGGCCTTTTCTAGGGACAAGGCCTTGGACTTCAGGCCTTCACTGACTCCATACCCCACGTCTTCATGGTATGACCCATCCTGCAAAAAAAATTTAAAACCAGTAAGTATAAGGGGACTTCTGCACGTACAGCACTTCTTGGTAGATGCTCTGCTTTCGTAAGCCTCATTACTTGCTCTTGGCTGGTGGTTCTATAGCAAGGTCAGTGTTTGGACACCACGAGGTTCTCCAGTCTAATACAGTACTCAAGAACCAGTCTGACCTACACACAAGATTTCACTCACAGCTTTACCTAATTGCTCAACTACAGGGAGAGCAAACAAAAAAAATCCACTTACCTTAAGCTGAACTCTGACAAACGCACAGACCCCCACATAGAACCTGCCGTTGTTGAGGTCAACAAAGTCTGGGGGAGGGAAAAGCAACATCCTAAATAACACAAAAGACTTCTGATCCACGTTTAGATCTTTAGTCCTTCGAGGACGTTCATAAACCTGTACTGTACTTGCTGAACGTGCCCAAGGTGCTGTATCATCTTCTGTAAAACGGGGCACGACTTAGAAAACATGAAGTGTGGTTTGAGAACGCTGACTGGTACCGTGCCCAGTGCATGTACACGTGATGCCTTCTGGTTATCAGTGGCTAGACATGCCCAACGCTCACACCCTGCTACCGCGGGTATAAACTTCAACATATGAAAGAAGGGTGAGTTGTAAATGTGAATTCTCATTCAGCTGCATATCCTGAACGTTCAAAGCATGACCATTTTTTCAGCTGGAAGAAAGTATTTAAAATATAGATTTATAAAAAGAGTAACGGAAAAGAAACTGTTGTCTGTAAAAGTAATTTCTTTCCTATTACATACCAGAAGTCTCTAGTTTGTGAAATTTTGCACAAGGCTTTTTTATCCAGCACATACTGGCTGAAGAGTGTAACAAGCTGCAAAACAAGTCTCAATCCAGAAGCTCTGATCTCTTATTTCACACCAAAAGCAACGCTGCACAGTTTACACACAGAGCATCCCAGTTAGCAGTCTTGCAAGTCTGATAGGAACGTGACACGGGTCGGAAATAAAATGCTTTGCAGTTCAAGGAACTGTATTCTGGGTCCAAAAGGTCTTCTCTACTCATCTGGTCTACTTGTTTTGTAAACCTGCCAGAGGTGCAAGCCCTTTTTCTACCCAGGAACTTAAAAGCAAACACAACAGAATCCTCTGTCTCTGGATTGCTAAGGAATGACTTGTTGTGGCACTATTGATAGAAGTTTGAAGGATGTCAGTCCTTTCTTGACTGAAAAGAGCAGGCAGAGTGGTACAGAATAGATGGAAATGAATGAAGTAACTTGATTTATGTCTAGAATCTACCAGCCTGAGGTGAGAAAAGATTTCTGAAGGCAGGAGGGGCAGGAAGGAGGTACATTTACGCAGCTTTGTTGAGCTACTTCAACCAGTCTCCAGTCTAAGCACAGCAGATCTGCAAACAAGGACAAACTCATCTGGCAGGTACTACTTCAGCTGTCAGGATGGAAGAATTGTAAGCTTTAAGGTGATCTCAATACCATTTTCTAGAGGAAGAATTTTTCCAAAGCTTTCTGCTGTGAAAAAAAAAATCTCAGAACCAGGAATTGGCTCAAAGAAAAATGTGCAGAAAAAGATGGGTCTCTAAAGATCAGAGGAATATTAACTTGTTAGAATATAAAAATTACAGGTGAGTACGAAAATTGGCTCAGGGCTGGTGGGTGTTAAATAGTTTAATTGTAATTACTCTTGTGTAGTCACTGAGTGGTCCATAGAGATCAGAAATCTTGATGAGAACAGCTCAAGAAAAATCATAAACACACCTGGAATAATGACTGACATCTTCCAGTGCAAGATCTAAACAGAAGGTCCATTATCATTCAATTTCTCTCCTTCTTGCCAACTGCTAAGATACCTGGAAATTCCACCTGCCTCTCCTCAGGTTCTTTGAAGCCATCTCTGAAGTGAGTCCTAGGGTAGGTACCCTGGTCCTTATCTGACTGTTCCTTCGGGGCCTCACAGTGAAAGGGAAAGTGAAGGAATCATGGAATCATGGAATGGTTTGGGTGGGAAGGGACCTCAAAGATCATCCAGTTCCAACACCCCTGCCATGGGCAGGGACACCCTCCACTACACCAGGTTGCCCAAAGCCTCATCCAACCTGGCCTGGAACACTGCCAGGGATGGGGCAGCCACAGCTTCTCTGGGCAACCTGTGCCAGTGCCTCACCACCCTCTGAGGGAAAAATGTCTTCCTTAGATCTAATCTAAATCTCCCCTCTTTCAGTTTAGGAAAAGCAAAGACCTCTCTATCCTCAAGAGATACTCACCAACGTTCTGCTGAGTGACTGAATGTGCCCAGCCATTGAAGCCAAACATCTCGTTGGCCAGACTGATGACCTTGTGACCCTCGATGTAACAGACCTGAAAAGAAAAGCAGATACACACAAATCTATATAAATACGCACACGTGTGCACTCATACATACATGCTTTATTTTAAAGAGGGAATGCACACATCGTCTGACGCTGAGGAACCCAGCTAAGTTCTAGGTTCAGGGAAAGGCTGATGGTGCAGCTTTAGGCTCTTCCACCAACTGTGAACAGGGGGTTACTAGGACAACAAGTAGGACTTCATCAAGGGAGGGCAGAGCCAGCGGGCACTGAAGAGAGTAAAGTGCGGTCAATGTTATATAATGCTTCATATATTCCAGTTCTGGGGGAAAAATAAGAAAAATTTCTTAAGGCTTCACAGGTAGATAAAGATTCCCTTGTTAAGGATGAAGCACTGAAAACTGAAAAAGTCTTTTTTTTAAAGTAGAAAAGGAACCTGTGGCTCAGTAAAAGCCAGAATTTATGCTATGCTGACTTTGCTTTCACATCTGCATGTTAAAAGACTAGTGGGAAATTAACTTCAAAAAATAAGGATTATTGTAACATTTTTACCCTCGTTTTCCTGGGGAGGGGAAGGGAAAAAGTGAGTTGAAACATCTCTGCATGTTTGTTCCTACCTTTTGTCCTCCTCCAGCTTGTCGACTGCTGATATATTCTGGACCCAGTCTCTGACGAAGAGCATGCTGGATAGCTTGATATTCACTTGCTGTGTATTGATACTTGACAAAAACAAGGTAAGACAAACTTTCTCCCTCGCCCTATTTTAGCTCCCCCTTTTCTCCCAATAGCACCTCTTTACCCCATTTTTCCATGTACAGTCCTTCCCAGGGGTGTATGATCCATTTTTAGAATCAAGATGTAACAGACAAGGAAGGACCTCGGGGTGCAGGTGTGTGTGCATTACATTTGTGCATGACATTGGGGTTTTTTTCTGTTACTCTTGATGTGTGTGTATATAAACATTAATTTTTGAGCTGTAGCAATTTTCTCGTGTCTCATAACCACATTACAAGAACTGAGACGAGCCAGGCCTGTTAGTATCCTATGGAAACCTTAATGCAGTCCTAACTCTAGCCAAGGCTGCTAGGAACACAGCTTATAAAGCTTGTATTTTATCTTTTAAAAACAAAACATAACATCTCCGTGACCAACACGAAAAGTGTATTACTGAAGTTTAAACATGTTCTCCCACCATACGCCATCGGGGCAGGGAGGATAGCAGCTCAGGCAAACAACGGGAATAGCAGTCTCGTGAGGAGTGTTCAGCAAACTCCCCTCAGGCAGGGAAGGTCCTTTGGATAACTCCAGCATCACTGGTATCACCAGCAATCCTTTGTTATCCTTTGGATAACTCCAGCATCGCTGGTATCACCAGCAATCCTTTGCTATCCTTTGGGTAACTCCAGCATCGCTGGTATCACCAGCAATCCTTTTATTATCCTTTGGATAAGACAAAGACACAAGGAAAAAGAGAGAGTGTGCATGCCTATGCCACATTCAGGAACTATGTATAGATGCCATCATAGAGAAGAGAATTCACCACCAAAAGGTCTGTTCAGTCCACGGAAGGTTTTCTTTTTCCCAAATTATCTTTTTTTTTTAAGTGATTTTTTTAATAGCAGAAAGTAGTTGACTTTTCAGAACCAGTACTGAGGATGTGTGTAGGCATGATCCAGGCTCTCTGGGAATAAGAGAATAAAAGGAGCCTCGTTTTTGAGAAACAAAATTAAGAACTTTTGTGAAGAATCCAAAGCAATTCACTGTAACTCAGGGCACGCCAAGTCTACTGCGGAGGAAAATATAATAAACAATGAGGTAGAGCCCAGCTAAACGGATGGGACTCCAGCCTTACTGCACTCAACTTTAAGCTGAATAAACATGCAGAGCAGATTTCCAGATTTTTATTCCCAGAATAAAACCTTTATTTCCCCCTCAGGCGAAAGGAACTGACCTGTCCGAAGCACGCGACGGAACTGCTAACGCTGGAACTATTGCTGCTCGTGTGGCTTTCGCCGTCCTTCCCTTGACTCTCAGGCATCCCTAAAGATAAGGGAAAACACAAACATGGAAGATAGGAGCCAACAGTCCTAAAGACAAGCTAAAAAACTGCTGCAGTGCCCTGCCCAGCGAGTATAATATTCTGTAACAGATGTGTTGGATGTTACAGTGCTATTACACTTCTCACTCCACGGAACTGCTGCAGCCCCCACTGGAATTTTGTTTTCCGACG